TACAACAACAAGTTTAGCTCTTCTCTGAAGATCTGCAAACTCCACATGCGCTTTCAAATAGTATAATAGTTGAAAGTGAACCCACCGTAAGGACGACAATTGTTCACTTGTTTCCTCGCGTTGAACATTGAGGACATATGCTTCCAAGCTCGTTTGCTGAACAAATGATCATCAAATCTACTTCCATGACCAACCCGCTCTAACAAAAGATAAACAAAATACCGATCCATCTCAGGTTCAAGATTGATTGCAAGAGATGAATTGGAAGAATCGAAAGAAAAATGAGAGAGAAGTGGGAAAATAAAAAACCATAACAGATGTAGATATGTAGATCAGATCTAAGAAAAATATCCTATGATTTTACCTTTTAACTGTTTTCACTTTAAAGCCATAACAGATGCAGATCTATCCACGCAAATCTTTGAACGCAAAGCTTCGAACATTATTCAATAAAAAAAAGTTCAGATTCACAAATCCAAAAGGAACAAAGAACAATGAGATGCAGTGAGAAAATTTTGTTACGATTTAAAAAAAAAAAAATCTTACCGCTCACTGAGAAAATGAGATGTGGTGGCAGTATTATGAATCCTTCCATCCTGAAAAATGAATAAATAAGTCAATATAAAATTTATGAAAATGAATTCTAGGGTTTGTTCATAAAGAAACAGAAAAGTATACCAATAGAACAATCCCTACACACATGAACGAAAAAAAAATGCAAGCAAGACAAAAAAAAGAAGCAACACTTCCCTATTTATAGGCAAAGTCGTAATTTATTTATTTAAAAAAAAAATTTAGCTTGTAGAATACACTTCACCATTACCAATGCAGAAAATAGTGGAGGGAACTTAATTGTTAGGTGACTGATTTCAATTTCAATTAATACACTTCCCACCCATTTCAAATTATGAATTGAGAACATCATTAATACAGTTGTTTGCCACCAAGTATTTTATAATGATTTAAAAAAAACTCTCCCTCCTTTGTAGAATTTTTTTATTTACGAAATAAAAAAGATTTCTAAAAAAAGTAACTTTTCAAACTATCCCCAGTGTGAACACAAAGCTGAGAATTAAGGAGGAAGTGACACGTCAGCAAAGTTTTCAAAATTTGGTTCTCCTTTCTATATATTAAGATTAAGATATAGATAGGCTTAACAATTTTCGGTGCATAAAATAGCGATATTATTAATAGGCTTAAAAATTTCCAATGCAGAAAGTAGTGGTAGATTACCAAAAAAAAAAAGAGCAGTGGTAATATTAATAGGCTCAACAATTAACCATGCAGGTGGAATATTAATACAATTGTTTGCCACCCAAGAATGCTGAACTCTTTTTTCACATATCAAGTTTAAAATTCTAATTTAAAAAGTTACTAAAAGAGGAAGAGGCACAATCCTTTGACACAGCTGTCAAATTTTAAAATTTGACACCAAATCCTATTCGTTGATTTTCGTCAATCAATGGTTATCATTTATTGAAAATTAATATTAATTAATAAGTTTGATTGACAGATATCAAATGTTAGGATTTGGTGTCAAATTTCAAAATTTGACACCGGTGTCAAAGACTTCTATGCCAAAGAGAAAACATTTGAAAATGGTTTAAATGTGAACATTTGAAAGTTAATAAATAATTTTTCAATAATTACATGATAAAATAAAAAATTATAACAAAAATATAATGAACAAAGATGAGTTGATGCAGAAAAATGTTATACTTTTATTTGTTATTGTATTGTGAATAATAAATCTCAAAATAATCATTGATTCATTTGTAAACCCAAAAAATTAATTTGGTAGTGACGACTTGCAAATAATAATATTCCGTCAGTAAACAATTATCATTTTTAAATACCATTGTTAAACCATGCAAAATTCACTACTATCAGTTACTACTTGTTATTCAGCTTTTCGTTTACTTTCTTTTCACATCCTAAGGAAATTGTCCATGAGGCATTGCTCAGAAATGGTACGGATTATGTCAATATTTATCGCAAGGTTAATCAGTTCTGTAGCTCTCATACTCTTAAAAGAGTCTATATTGATGTTATCAAGCAAATTGATAAAAAGCTTAAAGATTCTCTTCAAGCTGATTGTAACTTCTTGCCTTTCCTTTTATTTACACGATCTTTTTCTCAACCATTTTGTTAGTAGTAAAATCCGAAGATCAGAATTGTTCTCTGAAATGTAAATGACCAATCTGTTTTTTATTTATAGCAATTTGAAAGAAATTGGTTTGATATGTAAAACTTATTAACTAGAAACTAGAATGATCAATCAACAGTTATCAACAATGATTATATTTCTGGAATTATTGAATCGTGGACTTTCTGCAACAATTACGCATCCCTGCATTTTCACATTGCTAAGGCATTTTCTTTACAGAATTTGCACTATTATAGCTATTTCACTGAAATTTCTCAATTCCATTTTTAATCCTCGAAAGAATCATTTTCCAATGTCTTTTGATTCTTTAGGAATTATGTCAAATACCTACTTGGGTTATCCCTAACCTCAAGAGTTCAATTAACAAAACAAACACAACTTGATTTGTCAATCACAACTTATGCCAAAAATGCTCCAAGATTCATTCCCATGATTTTCTTGTATTTAAAATTGATAGAATTGCTAATCAAATATGAAAAAAGTGAGTTTAGCGGTAGATTAATAAAATGTATTCATCCAGTCATCTTGAGTCCCGCTAAAAGAAAATTAGCTAGCCATTTTAAAGAATGACATTAAAGAGTTTAGAATTAAATACATGCATTATCAAAAACAGAGAGGGAATGAAAAGTTGAGTGCAATAAAGACCAGTAATTCACGGATTGAAAATCCTAAACTATAGCTAGGAAGAAGTAGAGAAATAGAAAGCTTGCATGAAGATCCTTGCGCTCTCTCTCTTGAAGATACATTGTCAATGCTCTTCGATTTCAAGAACTTGGTCAAAACAACAGGTTCAAGAAGACTCTCAAAGAAAAATTCACTTTTTCACAAGCATAACGAACAACCAAAAAAAATAATTCAAATCTGCTTCTACAATCCAAAAAGATACCTGTTAACTAAAAAAACAAAAAAAATAAAATCCAAAATGCTGGCTGTCCATCGCTGCGTCCATCCCATGGTTCATATTTGTTTCCTAGCTTTTAATCTCATTCACGTGGCTTTCCCCTTTTTTTTATCTGAAAGACAAAAATAAGAAGAAACTTGTAAGTGAATTATATTTACTTCTCTCTTCTTATTTTTTCCAACTTGGGTTGTATTGGTTCTTCTTGGGCCATTTACTTGCACTTAAGAACTCTTTTCAGCCCAAATAAAGCAGAAATCAACTCATTAAAATAAGTACAATTCATTTTGTTTCTTTTCAATTCTCTCTCTTCGGGTTTTGGGTTGTAACAAAATCTTTTGAATCTCAACTACCTTTTCAAGCCTTGAAATCTTAAAACAGATATGGTTGCGGGGGCAACGCAACATCAATAACACTTTTACGAAACCAGTTGCGATCGACGGTCAATGAAACCAAAAACAAATAAATAAATAAATAAAAGATTTCTGAAAAGGAAAGAAAAAAATAAATAATGATACTGGTTGTAATAAAAAAACAAAAATAAAACAAAACTAAAAATATATGAGAAAAATGTTGCAGGAGCAAAAACTATAATATTTTTTTTTGGAGGGGGCCAATCCTATATTAGGCATTATCAGAACATAACTTTATCAAAGATAATTTAGGAACTTTGGGGACAAGGAATTATGTAATTCTACCACAATATAGTTATAAAATGTGGTGATATACATATAAGACACGAGATCTGAGAGATAACCTTTGTATTTACTGTATATTCCGATGTACAATATCTAATACACAAAGGCTCTATTTATAAGTCAGAAACAGACTAACTAACTAACTAACAGACTAGAAAACAGAAAAGAACAGTAGTGATCTAATACATACAGAAGTTCAGTAACATCAACAAAGCTAAAGCTAAGTGAACTATATCACTAATAGTAAGCCACTTAGAAGGAGATGTTGAGAGTTCATACCTTAGTAGTGACATTCACCACATGAAAAATTAAGTTGGCACACGCCAGAGCCCCGTGGTATATCATATAATGATTTTCTGTGAATATGCAGTTTTTTCCTAGAGTCCAACAATCTGCGGGTATAAATATTCATTGCCTTCAAAACAAATCCATATCGTGAAATATAATCAGCAAATTCCAGCTCATCTTCAAGTCCTCGTTATCCTTTAAACTGAACAGAGGTCAGGTGTGATCGAAGACAATTAGGAACCATTGTTGGATGCGCCCAACTTTGTAAACGTAATAATGGTTCCTGTCGCTGCAGGCGGCAAAAAGGAAAAACAACACTAATAAATAGAAGCAATTAATGAATATATTCAATATAGGTCAAAACTTTAAACTTGAAAGATCAACAAACCCCCATGTTATGAATTTTGAGAACTTGAAGTACATGACATTTCTGAAGCAAGTTTATCAGAAAACTTGAGTTGAAACGTAGAAAAGTGATCTCGAGATGAAATAAGTGGTGAAAATTCGAGAAATCTATAATTGGGGAACAAAGTAGGGTCTGCAAGACAACAAGAAGTTATATAATATAATATATAATATCAGTACAGAATTCATAAAAAAGAAGAAGAAGAAGAAGAAGAATAGTGATAATAAAACTTGACCTCTGTTAACCAAGAACCCAAATTTAGAGATGTTGTTCCGCAAAGAGCGCGGATAAGCTTATGAAAACTGTTGACAGATGCTTCGTCCTTTGCTTCCATATTAAGATGTGCATCCACCATATGCTGTAAATTGGTAACCTTAAAATCAAAGGAGCTTTTCACATGGACGATAGAAAGGTACTCAAGACCTGGCGCATCTATATCCAGATATGATTCCCAAAGAAGAGAATGAACACTTAACCCCAAACTCTTCAAGGAAGAAGAAAGGACGCGGAATTTGGTTAAGCATGTGGGATGAATACACAAAGTCAGAGTTTCGAGGGCAGGGAACCCAGAGAGGATGGCAAACAAACTGTTGGAGGCTTTTCCATGTGGATTCCGTAGGACAAGAGCCTGCTGCAAGTGAAGAGGGTGTGAGGCACCTCTAAACGAAATTCACTGTTGGAATGCAGTTCAAGCAGCAGTTCCTCCAGGTTAGGCCCAATGGCGGTTTGGACCCACTTAGCCACTGAGCTGGAGTCTGTGTTAGAGTAAGCACACGAGAGTCGAAACCCTCGAATATCATAACCCTTTCGCATAGCTAGAACCCTATTTACGAAAACAGCAAAATGCTTGAATCCCGAACGGTTGAAAAAGTCAAGGACTTGAATATCCTTCCAGATATGGCGCCACCTACGAGACAAAACGCTCGTAGTCACGCAGATTTTAATTGTAAGGAATGATAGGATGTGGCACAAGACTGCATCAGGCAGATCACTGATCCTGTCCCTGACGACATCATTTTCTTCTGCTTTCTGCGGCTTTGAGGTTGGTTTATCCATCTTCAGTAGTAGTCGTCGTGGTTTATCCATCTTCAGCATTTTTAAATAATTATTTTGCGGAAGTGTGTGTGTGTGGTTGGTGGGTGTTCCTGACAAAAAAAAAATAATACGACAAGGGATAATAAACCTTCAAAAAAAAATAACTGCAGAACCAAACCCTATATAAATGATTTTTCTACCACTTTGTCACCTCATATGCGAAAAAACGCACTTTAAAAGCCTCACTGAGACGAACAAAAAAAAAAGCCCTAAAAATTGAGAAAGCTAGAAATAGATAATGAGAAACAAAGCCAAATCTTAAAATATTTTATTTTTTTACCTTTTCTCACCTCAAAAACAAAAAAGCTGGTCCACTTTGAACGTTTCAGTGTCGTGAACCCAAAACCCTAAAATTCGAGGATGCAAAGAAAAAAAATAGGGCGGATGCTCACTTATTATTGTGTATTTGGACGGGCTTTTTCTCTTATTGTTGCTTTTTTTCAGAAAAAAAAAACTCTTGGAAAATTTTATGTATCTTGGAAAGGGGCAGGAATGTAAAATTATGGTAGTTAAAATCGAGATTTTACCTAAAATCGAAAGAAGGATTAAAAATCGTAAAACGTAAAATCCTAACGTAAAAAAAATCGTACAAATGTTTGGAGTTTTTGATGAAATCGTTTTGATTAAAAAATCGTAAAATGCAAATTTAAATTGGGATTTTAACTACCATACAACCAATTAGGGTTACTATCAATCAATTTCACCGTTACATCGATTACATTGATCCAACGGTTATATTTATTTTCATCTTTGTATGTTTATGATTCTCCATATTTAACGATAAAGTACTAAATATGGAAAGTCATAACCATACAAAGGTAAAAATAAATATTAAATATTAAATATGGGGTGGATGCTCACTTATTATTGTGTATTTGGATGGGCTTTTTCTCTTAAAATTGTTGCTTTTTTGCATAAAAAACAAAAGTAAAAACCTTGTGGAAATTTTTTTGTATTTTGGATATCAACTTTTAGAGAGAAAAAATTTAAAAATAAATAAATTATTATATATTATTAAATATTATTTAACTCAGTTAATTTAATATTATTTTTCAGTTTAATGTCAAAATAATAATGTCAATCCATATGTGGTGAGAAGATAATGATGAGAGAGACAAATTTAAAATAGTCAACAAGATAATGTCGTATCGTTGTGGGTCACTCCCCAGTCCCCACCCAACCCTAGTCTCGCAAATGTAGTCAACGATTTCAATTGCATTATAAATAATTTTTTTGATATTCAAGATTTTTTTTTTAAAATCTATTTTATTAAAAAGTAGGAAAAAGTTCATCAATGCCCATGTGGTTTACTCCAGAATCACTTATGCCCCTGTGATTTTTTTCTTATCACACATGTCCCTGTGGTTTGTAAAAGGGAATGTTTTTTATCACATATACCCTTGTGGTTTCTTATTTTTTACAAAGCACAGGGGCATATGTGATAGGAAAAAAATCACAGGGGCATAAATGATTCTGAAGCAAACTACATGGGCATTGGTGAACTTTTCCCTAAAAAGTATTATCTTGTCAAAAAATCAAATACCTTCAATCTATTTTGAATTTTGACAACATTGATACTTACAAAATCTCATACATATCAGTGTAAATAAGTCAGGTAGATTAGAATTACGTAAAATATTTTAAATCTCGTCAAAGAATTTTATCAATATTTTTTTTGAGATAAACAAAGTTTGTCTATTTTTTTGATGAATTTCCATACCCAGAATTTTCCGAGTTGCACCTAAGTCTTTTATTTCAAACTCTGAGTTGAATTGAGATTTCAACTTAGAAATTCCTGAAATATTGTTAGCAGCTATTAATATATTATCAACATATAATAATAGATACAAAAAATAATCATTAGAGAGCTTCTTGAAATACGCACAATCAATATAGTTACTTCTAGAATAACCATGATGGATCATAAAAGAATCAAATCGCTTGTACCACTGCCTTGGTGATTGCTTTAATCCATACAGATATTTATTCAACAAGCAAACATGATCTTCCTTTCCTTGTTCAAAAAAACCTTGAGGCTGATGCATGTAAATCTCTTCTTCTAGCTCACCGTGAAGGAAATCAGTTTCAACATCTCAAGCTTCAAATCATACAAGACAACTATAGTGTAACACCCCGTGTAAACCCGGTTTGTTAACATATCATTGTATTAAGATGCGCTTAATTAAAAATGAGGAATATCTTTTTCTTTTCAATTATGACGTCATTATACTTAACCAAGTTGATTACTTAATCATTTTCATAAAATATCGCCTGTATGTAAATTGCAATAAGACATCTAACTGAAATACCTCAATATATAAATAGAGTGAGTATCTAAAATCACGGATCTACAACTCGTAGCCCGGACAATAATCCTGATACATTATTACAACTCCAAATAAAATAAGACATAACAAGTCTATGTGACATGGACAATCCCCATGCTCACCAAATCAACATCATAACCAGCAAAGTCTCAACATAGTAATTCATGAACTGAAGCTAAAAGCATAAGACAGCAAACTGGATCCAACATCCAATCATAACAGCATAAGCAGCATAAACATGTATCATCTATCAGCTAAGCTCTGGCCTCCTGCCACTAGAGGTCTCAACCCCCGCATTACCTGAACCTGAAATAAGCATTCTCCATACGTGGGGTGAGATCTCTAAACCAGAAATCTCAGTAAGACAAGGGGTCCTCAAGGATCTTCCAACCCAAGCTCACTTACATGTGCAATATAAGTTCTAAAAGCAATAACTCGATATAAGTTCCAAAACTATGCAGTGCAACAGATATTCATGACATGTGTGTTAAAACTATTCTACTGGCCAGAGAAATGCAGGAATACGTCTATCACCTACATATAGTACAAGGAACATCGCTTGCACCTCACCCACAGCCTCGCCATGTTGTATGTACCACATACTCAGGCTTACCGTATAGGTGGAACACCACATGCATATCCAAAAAGGCACTAGCATATAACATCTCAATAGCATTTCCAAAATATCAAAAGCATGTAACACAACATGCATATAACCATACCCCCATAGGACATGGTGGAACCACAACATGGCTAAACCGAGGACACGAAAGCTTACCTTGCAAGCTAGCTATCGAAGCCAAGAGTCCAACACAATCTCAAAGCCCAAACACAACAGTATCACAATCTGTTATGGACCAATAATATATCAATAAACATACTCTACAAGCATACAACTTAAAGACAACGTCTTTCCTTTACGTTTTACGTCTTAAGGCTTCACACAAAGCTGCAAGCCCTTAATTACATGATTCTGACTTAGTTCAATTATTACAGAAGTTCAACTTCATCAATCTAGGGTCCACAAACCCCCCAATAGCCTACTGTATGAGCAGTACAGCTACTGTTCTTCGAAATCCCAGAATATCCGGATATATGTCGGGGACATATCCAGATATCCATATCCGGATATCTCACTGACAATATCCGGATATCAATATCCGGATATTCAGAACCCCATATCCGGATATCAGTATCCGGATACCCATATCCAGATATTCACGACCAAATATCTGGATATTTCGCGACAGAACCTAGATTCTGTATTTCGCGAAAATCCAAACTAAAGGTCCAACTTTTACCGATTAAAGAAGCTTAAACATGCATTTCTAAGTGTGTTAAGCATTACCCAACGTTAGGTTATCATCTTTAGCTCATTACATGCATCAAGGTTCCATTTTTAAACACTTAAACTCAAGTTCAAGGTTGATGATCATACCACAAGCTCCAAACAGGGAATGGAGATGTTCTTGGAGCTCTCCCTACAGCTCCAAAGGTGCAGGCACCAAGGTGAACGAAAATGATGTACAAGGTAGCTCTTTTACTCCACAAGAAAGCTCCTTGGAGCTTCAAAACACCAAAACAAAGGCTCCCTCCTCACCAAAACCAGAAAACAGAACCCTCAACTTCACAAGACAGTAGCCAAACACTGAAAAGAAGTCACTTTCCCACTCACAAGGATTGTTCACACACACCCAAGGTGTTTAAGTGAGAAGAAAATGGAAGAAAATGGCATTTGGCTCTTGAAATGAGAAGAAACCAATGAAACAGTGCATGGAGGGCTGGTCATCCGCAAGCCTTACCTCGAGTTAAGGTTTCTAGGGTTTTGTGCCCAACACAAGAGTATATATAGGCCACTTAAGAATATAACACACAGTATTAACTTTAATTGCTACACTTAGCATTTTAATTCCAAACTCAGGATTCTTAACCTACTCAATTTTACAAGAATTATAATATTTTTATTATATTTTTCTGAGTAACTTTCTGGTACGCGTTTTTCCATAGCCAGTATCAGTTATGGCATCATTTCTCATTATTTTAACTTGAAACTCATTTTACAAGTCCTATATATTATTCTAGTAATATATACTCACTCTTCCTAATTTTCCGGGATACTTTTTCGGTACGCATTTATACCGACTAGCAGAACCGGTATCTGCACTTTTCTTCCGAAAAGCGACTATCAGCATTCTAAATCACTTACTATTTATTTAAACCTCATAATAATTATTAGGATCAATTATGAAATTATTTCCTAATTTCTCATAATTAATCAATTAATTTCCTTAATTAATGGTGCGGGTTCTCTTACATATAGCAAGTAAAATACTTCGTTGAAATCTATTTCTTCTCTTTGACTGTAGCTTTTTGCTACCAAATGTGCCTTTGTCTAGCATCTTTAACTCCAGGAATTCCTTCTTATCTTTTGAAGACTCATTTGCAGCCAATGATCTTTTGATCCTTTGGCAATTTTACTAGTTCCCATGTCTGACTCTTATGAAGACTCAATTTCTTCATTCATAGCAACAATATATTTAGCATATTCTTTGCTTGTAATGGAAGCACGGTAAGTGGAAGGCTCCTCGTCGTCAAAAGATTATGTCATAGTCAAAGCATAAGCAACTAGATATGCATAAACATACCTATAGGGTTGCTTGATTTGCCTGCACTATCTCTAAGCAGGAATAGTGTCCTATTGCGGTGGTAGTGCTTCCTCATGTTGCACCTCCTTCTCAATGAGCTTATCTTTAGTTGCTTCAAGCATCGCCATTGAAGCATCATATTGTAACTCGATGTTTGTCACTTTCACTACAATCTGCATTTGTATCGATTCAATATTTTTTCTAGTGAAACTAAATGATTCATTAAAAGTGTCATCCCTGCTGATTAAAAACTTAGGTGACTTAGAATTAAGACACCATAACTTGTATCCTTTCAGCCCCTATCCACATACAAGAAAAATGCATTTTTTGGCTCTAGGCTTCAATTTCCCTTCGATGACATGAGCATAGGTTGGACATCGAAAATTTCTTAAATAGGAATAATCAGGAGGTTACTTGATCACAGTTCCTTAGGTGTCTTAAACTCAATAGAAGTCAGTGGAGACTTGTTCTCCAAATAAGTTCTGAATGAGTTTGAACATCCAGGTCATATTGACTTTAAGTTCCTTAACAACTCGAATTGTTGCACACCTTAGGTCTTCACTTGTTTGCCTTTAAAGTGTTTGGTCCCACACCTTATTTAATTTTGATAATAATAAACAAATGATGTATAGGAAATAAGATAAATTAAAAAGATTGTTTATGTTCATGTTTTTTAATGTTGAATATGAAGTAAAACAAAGGATTGTGTATTGAAAAATGATAATTGAAAGTGTGCAATTGAGAAAGGAAAGAAAAAATAATGGGGCGTATACAACAAATTTTCTGATTTATAATTCCTTGGAAAGTAAAACAAATTATAACATCAATTGTTAAAAATTCATATTAAATTGTTTATAGTTTATAATTTAAAATTCACATTAGTTTTTAGTTTTCTCGAGCGAATTTTTTTAATAAATTCTTTAAAAAAATATTTGAATCACAACTTATTTTAAACATTACAGAAACTAAACTACACACTTATTACAATACCACCATTCTTAAAAAAAATCCAGTGACTTATTTTTAATATTAAAAGTAATTATAACATTAAATAAAATAATTTTCGTTGTAAAATGAATATATAAAATAAACAAAAATAATAATAAAAAAAGACATCACGGCTAACGAGTCTTCTGAGTTCTGATCTTAAAACACAATAATGGTGAAAACAAAAAATCATTAATCTTAGAAAAAAGAATCCAATAAATTTTCGAAATCCAATAGCTTGTTTTGTTATTAACCATAAAAATGTCAACCAAACTTTGAATTAAGTTACGCTTTACCTGTATATTGGGACACAGATCCTTAACGAGGTAATTAGAAAATTAAGAAGGCGCCTTGTCTTCCATAAACTTAAATAATCATTGACATAGAGACAATTTCCACCCGAATGGAAACTTCCAAGTATTTTAGTTTTACAGAAGACATTCATTTCATTCTGCTACATACAAATAATTAAAGGGCTAGTCATCAAAATTTCTTGGGGGCTGGACCATCATATTCAGCAGAATAGTCATAATCAAGAAACTGTACGTCCATAGCAAACAGAAGCAATGTAGAGGTTCTTTGCCCACTTATCCTGTAAAAACCAATTATGATATGATCAGACTCCAATAAACTGTAATAACAAAGGAGCATAGGCAACAAAAAGAAGTATGACACACCTTGACATGAGTGCTAGGAAATGCAGAAGTCCTAAGTGTTTCTTGAGTTTCATCTGTGGGTCTCCTCCTTGGCATACTCAGGACAAAAGCAGCTTGGTCCCAAGTTGCAGCAGTTGCTGTGATTCGGTACCCACAATCCCAACGCTTGTGAATCCCTTCACTAGGATACAGAAAATCTAGTTCAACCACCTGAAATTCATTCAATACACATGAATGAGGACTGGTTATTTCACGCTAATGAGTTGCATTATGAACTGAAGTAATGGTAGATAAAGCTCAATCCAATGCTGACCTGATCAGAAAATCCAGCACCACGAGACATAACTACTCCCCATCTGGACCCTGAGGTCGCCATTGCAGTCACGTAAAAGCCCTCCCTCCATTTTTTGTTAATCCACTTGAAAGGAAATGAATCGCTAACTTTGTACGATTGCTGCAAATACTGAGTGCCTGAAAAATCCATGAATTGTGTCAGAGGAAAACAAAATTGAAAGTTGCCAAACAGCATAAGTCAATATACTTGAACTAACCCTTAGACATTACTACTAGTGAGCTCCCATTTATAGCCCCAGCAATTGCGCTGATATAGTAACTTTTTTCCCATTGCTCCATGATCCATTCCTTCAAACAAACCAACAAACAAAATCCCTAATTAATAAGCATGTCTTGAAACTATTATGGATTAACAAATCTACAACTTACAAGCATGTATATGGTGCTAAGCAGAAAATTCTAAACAATCCACAAATTTTTAAGAAATTAAGGCAACAGATTGAAGTTTACCTTACTGAGAAAGTGGGGGGAGAGTTCATAAACTTGGGCAGTGAAACCTGTCCCTGCATCCATGATTATGGCCCATAGGTTCTGACATGAGGTAACACTGCTAATAAATAAGCCATCCTCATTTCCTTTCTCAATATGCTGGGCTAGCCTTGAATCTGCTACATTGTAGTGATATCTACAACACAAGACAATAATTTATAATGCATAACAATTCCCTAATATCAATGAGCTTTAAAAAATAGATAATTCTTCGCATCTGATTTCTGTGATTAAAAAATGAAACCCGATAGAAGTCAAACATACAAATCAACAAATACAGACACAAACAATGTGTAAAACAAGATTCACAGAGATGGTATGATAGAAGAATCACCCTCTCCACCCTTAATCTTAGGATGGGAAAATGGATGCCATCCCTTTACATCAAATTTAAAATGCCTGAGCACAGAATAATATGGATGACACAACAAACTTCATGACATAATAGTGTATACCTTTGTTTCATCGGTCTACGAGCATTGTAAACACTTATCCACTGGGTTGCCGGCACACCCATGCGAATCTTCTTTTTGGGTTGTTCATCGTCTTCCTCTCCCATTGCCAACCGGCCTCTCTTATGACCAATGAGCTTCAGACAAAATAAAATTAGAAATATAAAGTGCAGACTACAAACATTGAATGCATGCAGAACAACACCAGAGTACAGGGCTAGCAAGATACCTTTTGTGCACCTTCTGTATTAATTGGCCTAATATCTGGATTTGGACCAACAATCCCATCAAATAGAGAAATGTATTTTGCATAGTTAGGCTCTTCATCAAACTTTAAGTTCACTACATGTTCAACAAACTGTCTAAAAGGTTGGGGACAAAAGCAACATAGGCTCTCTGGAGCTGTTCCCATCTTCTTCTTGCAAACAAGAAATCCCTTGTTCTCTCCCTGAGAAAATAATGTTAAAGACCAGCATTCTAAACAGAAGAATAAACTGAAAAGTTATTTAAATATGCCCAACCTGGAACCCCTGCCAAGGAAGACGGCCTTTTAGAAGAAAAACCAGCGTATAGGCAAGAGATTCCAAATCATCCCTCCTGCTTCCAGTTCTCCCCAAATGTGCATGAACACTAGCATAGCGGACTGTGCCCCTGAAAATATTTTCCATATGATATTAATAACATCAATACAGAGAACTTTGACAAATCATATAAACATTTTTTATATGATCCAAATTCAATTATAACTACCTGAAAACATCTGGCCTTTGGTCATATTCCACGTGCAAACCTGTTGCCCCATCTCGCCATTTAGTAGCTGTAAGGCCAAAATAGCAAAGAAGAGAAGTGAGTAATTGAATTCTACCAGACATGGGAGTATAATAAATAACTAATTAGTCAAGCGCTAAATCATACCTAATCCAAGATCTACAAGGAACAGTTTTTTCTCATCAGGTGTCCCAGGAGGACCAAGCAGAAAATTTTCAGGCTTCACATCCCCATGCACATATCTGCCATATGTTGTAGTCATATAGTTTGAAAAACATAGTTTAAATTATTATAAAATATTATATATACATTACTAATGGCAACAAAAAAATGGATAAAAAGGATCCGGCTTCACAAGAAGTGTCTAGCAAATATTCATAGTTGAAAGGAAATGAATGTAAATAATTATCAAGAATAAAGTTTACGTAGCTCTTGGAAATTGTGTAGTTAAGGTGGTAGGAAATTACCCTCGAGAGTGCATCTTCTCCAATATGGATACTGCTTCAATGGCAATACAAGCAACCATTTCAGTGGACATGCTGGAATATGCAAAAACACATTAGCATAACAACTGAAAGTCAAAATTAGGTACAGGAAATATAATTTTGTACATATCTAACAAATAATTTCCAAAGGACTTACGTGTGAGAGTTATTATTCCAAACATCCCACAAGCTAGGTCCTAGCATATCCATAACCTGCACACATGAATGTCAAAAGTCAAACAGGCAATCTTCAAACAAGGCAAACACAAATAAAAGAAATATTATTCAAAATAATAATAATAGTAAACATAAAGAACAACTAACTCAACAATAAGATCCAATAACGTACCATGACATAATAGTCACCTTGCCTTCCCTTGTAATGTACCTGAGGCACACCATGACTACCACCAAGAGTGCTGTACAAACAGGAATAAAAATGCATGACATACCCCAAAAAAGGAGAGGAAGCAAGGGGAAAATATAAAAACAAGCATGAATAACACTCACTTGTACACTTGCCACTCATAGGGTGGTCCATAGTTACATCCTTTACTACTTCGATGCTCAAATTTTAATGCAACCTGATAAAATACTTCAGAACTAAGAATTTCTGAAATTAAAATACTAAAGCATTTAAAAATAGGAGGTACAACTAATCACCCAATATTGAAAGCATGCATATACCTCTACAGCTCCAGGTCCAGTTCTTTCACTCAAATTTACACCAGAAGCACGCCGACCTACATATACTTGACCAAATCCACCCTTGCCAAGTTTTCTTTCTAATTTATACCAAGGGGAGCCGCCTACTTGAACCTATGGCCAGAAGTGAACAAAATCAGGATATAAGTGTGACCAGAACAAAAGTTATAACGTATATGTGTGCCTCATAATTTACAATATTCAAATTAGGGCAAACAGAACATATATAGCAAGAAATCACATTTATTGACATCCATGACTGAAGGGAGATATGAGAAAATTAACAGGAGAATTTTTTATTTTTTATTTGTAGGAACTACTGTTTGAAAGGGACTGCTGAAGAACTGTGTTTTCAATATGTAAACCTTTTTTTAATTTATTCATCAGTAACTTTTCAAACTGCTGGCGTTGCACAGAAAGCAAAACATGCTCCTTGGTTTACATTCTTAATCTCACACAAACTTTACTCTAAAATAGAAGGAAGTATAATTTGACCAAAAGATTATATACTATTCCTAGAATAAAAATCATATTCATAATGCCATGAAATGTTAACAAATGTTAAAAATGCTTGCAAATGTTCAAGTAGCAGAAAGACAAGTAGTAGGTTTGGCATCATCACGAATATGTAACACAAACAAACACATGCCAGTACACTAAATAGAAATTTTATAGCTTGAAGTAGAATTGCCTCATATGGATGAATAAATTGTGTTGGTCGTGGAATTTTTTATATAAAGACTGGGTTGATGTGAGTGCATGTAAAAACAAAACATACAAACTATGGTGGCATTGTGAGTTGAAAGAAAATCAAGACTGAATGCCCAGATCAACACAAATAAAACCTGTGTTTCTAGAAATCAATAACAGAATGATAAGAGCCTGTTTGGATCCTCTTATTTTTAAGCTAGAAGCTACTTATAAGCTAAAGCTAAAAAAAGAGCTTAAAAAAAGAAGCTAAAAGCTGTTTGGAAACTACATAAAAAATTTAGCTTAAAAATTACTTAAAAGCACATATTTCAAGAAATTTATCTCTCTCTCCCTATTTTTATCACTCTTCATTTAAAAAAAAAACACACAAATCAAGAAAAACAGATTAGAGCTCAAAAAAAAGCTCCTCCTAGAAGTTTTTAGTTTTCAGTTTTTTTCTTCGTTATAAAAAAAGAGTTTTTCGTTATAAGAGTTTTTCCCAAAACTTATTTGGCCTAGCTTACGCTTATAATTAGCTTCTGGCTTAAAAAAAAAAAAAGATCCAAACAGGCACTAAGATAGTTCCCATTCTCTGATCAATCTCAACAAAGTAAGGAAAAATAGAAGAGTGCAACTCTGTACAGAAACAAACTTAGTCAACCATGATTTCAATTTTTATGCGTACACTTTTACCAACTGTATGTCTTGTCCATTTTCAAAAAATGACTCTTGAAGAAATGATAATATGCGATCTTAGACAAAGGAGTCCAGCTCTACAGCTCCACAATCACAATTAAAATATAATAATTGAAAGGCAAATTACTGGACTAGAAACCCATAAAACTGTTCTGACCATCAAACCCAAAATGCAAAATGTCAGCAAAGCTAAAATGGAAATTTTCAAAGAGAATAAATTCCAGTTTTTCATGGCTAGGTTACCAAAACAAGGAAGCCTTTACACCATAACACTGATTTGAAGAACACCCTACAATTGCACCTAAAACAAAATATGATGAAGCATCTGCACCAACACAAATGCAACTAACAAAGTGAATATGCATGAGAATATATAATGATCAAACCTTCTCGGGAAGTGGAGCAGTGCTACCCTCATCTTCACCAGCATTGGCCTTATCATTGCTGCGAGCTCCACTATCAAATTCATCCATCTGTTTCTCCCCTACTTCTTCCTTCTCCCCTCCACCAACACCACCACCACCTACGTCTCCACCGTCACGAACAGCTTCGTCCAGTTCCCGATTCTCTTCTTCCTTCTCCGGAACAACAACTACGTTCTCATTGACCACAGCCTGCTGCTGTTGTTGTTGCTTGTTATTCTTCGGCACTGTAGCCGCCGCCGCAGCCGCCGCACGCCGCCTCCTCGTTCTCGTTGCAATCGCTTCCCCTTCCACCGGACTCTGCTGTTGTTGCTTCGCTGCTGCCCGGCCCCTGCGTACTCCGCTACGCAGCACCGGCATCGTTCATCCTTGAAATCTCATCCTCCTCACAGAAATACCGAAGGCAAAAAAAAAACGAAAAATCAGAAATTTCGACCTCTCCTAAATACCCTTTTGCCTCCCGATCAGAACCCACCAAGCCAAAAACCGCGAAATCCAACGAAAAACTTCGGATAAGTCTTCGGAACTGTGACGATTTAGACGAAAAATGAAAACCGAAAAGGAATCTAGAGAAGCAAAATGTGCCAAATTCAGAAGCTTCCTAGCTTGATATCTAAAACCCTACAATCTGTTTGTGCAGAGATCGTTACAACCGAACTAGGGTTCGAAAACGATCACACGGTGTAAGAAGAAGAAGAAGAAGAAGAAGACGAAGATGAGAAAGGAAGACAGAGAGAGAAAGAAGGCTCTTGAGTATCTGCTCAGAGACACAAAACACGAGGTTTATTATTTATCTGTATATTAATAATTAATAATCATATTAAGTATTTCAATTGTTCGATTTTCTGTATTGGGAAAAAAATGTGTTAGGCTTCGAGAGGCGTTGATTGTGAGGGATTGGACGGTTTGATTTGATTGGGGTTTTTCACAGAAGTCGGGGATTTATTTGAAATTGAAAAGTAATTAAAGAAAAAAATATTTATTCTTCAACATGTTCATTTTAATTAAAATAAATATTTTTTTTAATAAAGAGTAAGAGAGTAAGAAATTGCTATGGCGAACCCTAGCGCCGTAATCCTACCGGAAAATTCGACGGAGCTTTCTTCAGAGGAAGCAAACAACCTTAAGAGGAGCACCAAGAAATACAAAGGAGGTGATGCTGATTTTAATCATGACCAGACCATGGTCCCCAGAGAAGATGCTTGGATGGAGGAACAGACGTCTTTTAAAGAAATGTTGATGAGACACAATGGAGAATGGGAGATGGAAGATGAATATGAGGAAGAAGCATCAGAAGCGGTGGAGGAAGAGCAGCAGGATCCTCAAGCGGGATTAACTGGTGAGCCGAAACCCTCTGAGGTATTCTATCGTATAGATGAGGATGGTAGAACCAATTTCAGTTTATCAGATGCATTTAAGAAGCGTGCATGGAGACCTTGGAAGAAGGTGATTTATGTGAAATTATTAGGGAAGAAGTTGGCGCTTACTGTTATGAAGAAAAGGCTAGAAAATATGTGGGCAAGGGAGGGACAGATTTTTGCCACTGATGTTGAGAATGGGTTTTTCTTAGTGAGGTTCGCAGAGCAAAAGGATTTGAATTATGCCCTTACTGCAGGGCCGTGGGTTTTATTTGATCACTACTTAGCTATAAGGTTTTGGGAACCTGATTTCCATCCGTTCTTTGCTTCAATTAGTCGAATCTTGGCGTGGGTGAGGCTCCCTAGTTTCCCTGTGGAATATGTCAATACAGAGTTGATCAACGAGGTGGGAAATTGGCTTGGCAAATTCATTAAAATGGATGCTGCAACTACTTGTCTAGCGAGAGGTAAATTTGCCAGAATTTGTGTTGAGTTAGATTTGAGTAGACCATTGCAGGCTGAGTATAAAATTGAGGGGAAATTAAAAAAACGTTGAATATGAGGGATTGCATCTTGTTTGTTTTGGATGTGGAAAATATGGTCATCGTCTAGAAAATTGTCCTTTGAAAACTGCCATGGTAAATCCCCAATTAGGGGATGACAATTCTAAGCAAGGAGATGAGGGTGTACCGATTAATCAGTCGAGTAGCTCTACAAATAAAAAGAAAGACAGATTTGGGCCATAAATGCTGGTAACTAAGCAGAGGCGATTCAACAGGAATGTTTCACTTCAGGGGGAGAAGAAAGAAGGTATGACTGGCTTGAATTATTCTCGCAGGGATGCAAAGATGGGGTCTAGGTTCAATGTGTTATATCAATCAGAGGAAGATGTAGGTAAAGATATCACTGGGAGGAAGATGCAATCTGTCAATGAGCAAGAAACATCTGTCAATGAGCAGGAAACAAGTAATTTCCACGGTAATCGGCATAGAGGTAAGTCTCGAGTTAAGTGATTGAAACAGACTCAAACTTTATGTTGATTGATGACAATGTTCGTGAGAAGGGTAAAGAAATTGATAGTGCAGGGTTAGACTTGAATGAAGTTTCAAAAGAGGTTGTCCAAAACAATATTATGAGTTCTTCTAGTAATATGGCAGTGGATGATAATTGTCAGAAGGAAGGCATTGGTTGTAACAGCCCCCCAAACCCTGTAGCATGATATTGTCCGCTTTGCCCCGCGCACAAGCACCGTCGAGCTCACGGTTTTGTTTCTTGGGACACCCCACAAAAGGCCTCACACTAGAAGAGGTATCCACACCCTTTTAAGGCATGCTTCGTTCCCCTCTCCAACCGATGTGGGACATTACATCCTCCCCCACTGGGAATACAGCGTCCCCGTTGTACACACCGGTCCAGGGCCAGGCTCTGATACCAAATGTAACAGCCCCCCAAACCCTGTAGCATGATATTGTCCGCTTTGCCCCGCGCACAAGCACCGTCGAGCTCACGGTTTTGTTTCTTGGGACACCCCACAAAAGGCCTCACACTAGAAGAGGTATCCACACCCTTATAAGGCATGCTTCGTTCCCCTCTCCAACCGATGTGGGACATTACATCCTCCCCCACTGGGAATACAGCGTCCCCGCTGTAAACACCGGTCCAGGGCCAGGCTCTGATACCAAATGTAACAGCCTCAAACCCTGTAGCATGATATTGTCCGCTTTGCCCCGCGCACAAGCACCGTCGAGCTCACGGTTTTGTTTCTTGGGACACCCCACAAAAGGCCTCACACTAGAAGAGGTATCCACACCCTTATAAGGCATGCTTCGTTCCCCTCTCCAACCGATGTGGGACATTACATCGGTGATGTTGATCAAGGAGGTACTGTTTGTGGAAAAGTGGAGGTCTCTTCAATCCAAAATAGCATTCCTTCTTCAACTGTCAGTAAGTATCCCCAACAGGGACATCAGTTACTTGATCAGTTAAAGATGCCAGCGCCTAAATCCCCTGATGCTGCATCTAACAGAAGAAAGCGTCCAGATGGGAAAGGAAGTAATGTTGCTTTGGTTAAAAACCATCAGGTATCGAGTATGGAGAGGAAAGTCCAGCAGGTGCAGTAAAGACTATGGTGGATAATCACAAGGTTTGTGTGGTTGTTCTTATGGAGACCAGAACTAGTAGTGTGGTTTGCAGTAAACTTTTGAAGAAGATTAATTTTGATAAGTTTATTGTTGAGGAAGCCATTGGTTTTGCAGGTGGAATTTGGGTTCTTTGGGACTCTAGAAAAGTAACTGTCAATCTGCTAAGTAGTAAGTCTCAGTTTATTCATATGAAAATGGAGCTTGAGGATAGTAAGAGCTTTTTATGGACTGCGATTTATGCAAATCCTAATGAGGAGATTAGACATGCTATATGGGAGGATATAAGGCAATTAAGTAATTCTATTAATGATCCTTGGATTTTGGGGGGCGATTTTAATGACATAAGGTGCAGTAATGAAAAGAATGGGGATCTAGACCTGATTTAGCTAAGTGCACTAGATTTCAACATTTTTTAGACTCTTGCAGAGTTGAAGAAATTGGTGGTTTGGGATCTAAATTTACAAGGCAGGGTCCTAAATGGCATAATTTATACCGAGTTTTTAAGAAGTTGGATAGAGTGTGTGCCAATGTTAATTGGAGAATTGCTTTTGAGGAAGCTGATGTTCGAATCCTCCATAGAATTTTATCTGATCATAACCCTTTGCTGCTTTCTTTGTCTATTCTTGTAAAGCATTGAACTATTAGACCTTTCAGATTTGTGGCTACTTGGATGGATCACCCTTGTTTTGCTATTTTTATGGAAAACTATTGGCTGTCTGATTTGCCAATAACTAATATGCTGTTGCAGTTGATTTCCCCTCTTCAAAAATGGAACAAAGAGGTTTTTGGTGATATTAATAACCGTAAGTGTGCTTTGATTCAAAAAATTGCTAGCATTCAAGCTCAAAGGGAGGCTCTGGACAGTTCTGGTTTGCAGGAAGTTGAGCACTATCTTCAAGAGCAATTAGATATTACTCTTGGTCAGGAGGAGCTGTTGTGGTACCAGAAATCTAGGCACAAGTGGATAATTGATGGGGATAAAAACACAAGGTATTATCATCTAAAAATTGTCATCCGTAGGTCCCAAAACAGGATTAATAGACTTCGTAATAGTACGAATGGCTAGATTGAGGATCTTGCTGATTTAAAAGCTCATGTTTGAAGTTTATATAAGAAGTTATTTGAAGAGGAGGTGGGGGATAAGAGATGGATTATTTCAGAAAATATGTGGCCAATTTTATCTCAAGAAGATTTGAAGAGGATGGTTATTCCTCCTAGTGATTATGAGATTAAACAGGATATGTTTTCAATGGGTGCTTTTAAAGCCCCTGGTTTTGATGGTTTCCCTGCTGTTTTCTTTCAAAGAAATTGGAACACATTGAAAGTGCAGGTCTGTACTGCAATTAAGAAGATGTGGTTTAATCCAGCTTCAATATCAGAGGTCAATTCTACTCTTCTTGTTCTAATTCCAAAGGTAAAGAATCGAGAGTGTATTTCTCAATTTCGCCTGATTTCTCTTTGCTCGGTTATCTATAAGCTCTGTTCTAAAATTATTGTGTGTCGGCTGAAGCATGTGATGGAAAAGGAGGTGTCTCCTTATCAAGTTAGTTTTGTTCCGAATAGACAAATTCAGTATATTATTTCTATTGTTCAAGAGTTAGTTCATTCGACGAGTAAGATGAGAGGGAAGAAGGCTTATATGGCAATTAAAATTGACCTGGTCAAGGCTTATGACAGGGTGAGTTGGCAATTTTTGCGTAAAACTCTAGAAGAGCTTCACTTGCCTGATGCTTTTGTTAATATTATCACTCATTGTATCTCTTCTACTTACATCAATGTTCTGTGGAATGGGGGTAAAACTGAAGATTTTTTCCTTCTAGAGGTTTGAGGCAGGGGATCCCCTTTCACCGTACCTGTTTGTTTTGGCTATGGAAAAATTGAGTCATATTATTACTACTGCAGTAAATGGGGGTTTGTGGAAGCCTATGTATGTTGGAAAAGGTGGCCCGAAGATATCTCATCTTGCATGTGCAGATGATCTTATGATGTTTATGGAAGCGTCTGAAGAGCAAATTAAGATCCTTCTCAAGTGCCTCAATATCTTTGAGGAGATGTCTGGTCAAAAATTAAGCGTGGAAAAAACTTGTGTGTATTTTTCTAAAAATACCACAATGGAGACTATGGAGAAAGTTGTCCATCTCAGCGGTTTTAAGCGTGCTACTAATGTCAGAAGGTATCTTGGAGCTATGCTGCGTCAAGGTAGAGTTTCTAAGAATCTATATGGAGGGCTGGTGGAAAAAGTAAAGAGTAAGCTTAGTAGTTGGGAGCAACAGTGTCTTTCACAAGTGGGTAGGATTACGCTATCCCAATCTGTTTTGGCTGCAATTCCATCTTACCAAATGCAAAGTTGTAAGCTTCCTTTGATGGTGTGTGAGAACATGGAGAAGCTACAAAGAAATTTTATTTGGGGTGATAAAGAAAATGTTCGTAGATATCATCCCATTAATTGGAACATAGTCACATCCCCTAAACTACATGGTGGGCTCAGGTTGAGAAATTTAGCTAAGATGAATGATGCTTTTTTGGCTAAAAAGGCGTGGAAAATTTATACAGAGCCAGACCAGCTGTGGGTGCAAGTACTTCATGCCAAATACAAGAGCGGTAATAGGATAAACTCCTTATTTGTTGCAAAAAAGGGTGATTCTAGCTTTTGGAAAAATGTTTGCAGGATGTGGCATGTTATGGAGGATAATTTGGTGTGGGAAATTGGCAATGGCAAGGAGGTTAATTTTTGGAAGGACAATTGGTTGTCAGGCTCAATTATTCTGGAAAATTTTGTTGTTAATGAAGTCATTCAACAGTTGGAAAATTTAAAAGTTGCAGATGTTATCAATCAAACAAGTGAGTGGGATTTTAATAAGTTGAATAGCTGGCTGCCTTTAAACATTGTTAAGGTTATTCGTAGTGTTCTACCTCCCATGGTGGAAGATGGAACTGACAAAAGAATTTGGGAGATCCAAAAATCTCATTCTGTTTCTATGGGTGCCATTTATGCTTTTCTGTAAAACAATGATGTTATTGACGATGGTACTATGAAGATTTGGAGTCGGTTGTGGTCTTGGAAGGGACCTCAACATATCAAAATTTTTGCTTGGAAGCTTTTGCACCAGAAACTGTTAACGAATAGTATGATTTCTTCTTGGTATGGTGGAGATGGAATGTGTAATTGTGGAAGTGGAGAGATGGAAACTATTATTCATTCTTTAAGAGATTGTCCCAGGGCTAAAATGGTGTGGGATTGTCTCATTCCAACTTCTCATAGCACTGAATTTTATACTGCTTCAATAGAGCACTGGTTTTTATTTAATTTCGGTGTTGATATCTTTCAGAATGATCATGACAGATGGTTTTTGACTTTTATGGTTGCTTGTTGGAAAATTTGGAGTTGGAGGAACATGCTGAACCATGGCCGAGAGGTACCTCTGATTGGTAGTCGAGTGCAAATAATTAAAAATCTTGTTAAGGATATCGAGTTGGCTGCTGTTCATCAAAATTTAAATAGCTGCAATCCTCACCTCAACAATGTTTCAGTATCTTGGAGTTTTCCTGAGGAAGGTTTTGTAAAGGTGAACAGTGATGGCGCTTATCGTGGTAATCCTGGTTTGACTGCTTGTGGAGGAATAATTAGAGCCTCTCAAGGTATTTGGTTGGATGGCTTTGCTTATAGGTTGGGCTTTTGTTCTTCCTTTAAAGCTGAGTTGTGGGGTATTTTAAGAGGTTTAGAGAGGGCTTGGTGTTGTGGTTATAGGAAAATTATTTTAGAAAGTGATTCGATTATGGCAATCACTGTGCTCACCAATTGTGGTGTGGCAGTCCGTGAGGTGCAATTGGTATCTCGTATACAGATTTAGCTTGGTAAGGATTGACATGTTCGTCTTCAACATACCTTTAGGGAAGGCAACACATGTGCAGACTGGCTAGCTAATTTTATGTTAGATGCTACTGAGCAAGCTGATCATTGTGTTTTTAGCCAACCTCCTTTTGGTATTCATCCTTTATATTTGGGTGATCTTGCTTCTGTTGGTAGGGTTCGTGCTGTGGTACTACCTGGATAATTTCCTTGTATTTTATTTCTTTGTTTTTGGCTTTTAGGCCTTTTATTTATAAAAATAAAAATAAAAATAATAAATGTTTTTTATTTACAATTTAAATTAAAAAATTATTAACTTCTTTTTCATGATTTTTATTGTATATTTTTTTTAATACTAATTTTTTCATGTTAAAAAAAATATGACATGATCATATGCGGGATCATAATCATAAAGTGGACCGATGATGATAAATTAAGAGAAAAAATATTAAAATTAATTGTTATAAAATTATAATTGTTGATTCACCTTTGCATGTCTTCACATATAACTATGTCATTTTAAAAATAAAAATAAAAATAAGATGTTCTATTCCTTTTCTTTTACTTGAAAGGACATAATTTTATATTTTAAAAAAATATAAAAAAAATAAAATAATTCCGATGATCTAACCTCTATTAATTCAGTTGTATAAACTAATCAAAATCAAATAATTATTTAAAAATAATAATAATAAAATCAAATAGTACCCTCTAAATGAAAAGACCATATGGGCCTAGAGCACAATTTTTTTTTTCTTTGGACAACGTCAAACCTTTTAAATGCTCATTAATTAGATGAGAGATTTGACATTACTGAAAAGGGATTAGAGTTGCGATTAACCAATGAAGTGCTACCATGTTTACTAGTGGAATTCTGTAGGAGGGTTGCACTGCACGATTGCCCACTGTTCTTGTTGTGGGGCTGCCATTGTTTTTTAACTTGTACGGTCTTCTGGGTCCCAACCCAAGTCAAGTTCATGTGAGTAAGTTGACTTTGACTATTGACCACATCATTGAGGATTTTCCTTTTTTTAAATAATTTTGGAATGACCATAATTCTTTCATACCTTTTTCTTTTTTTTGGGAGTAATTTGAATTGTTTTTAAACAATCAACACAATTAAGTGTCAGAATTCATAAAATTAAATAATTTATTTTGTAATATTCATTTGTTGACCAGATTTTTGGATTGATTATCTAAAAATTGGACAATTCAATCTTGTTTCACATGGAGAGAAGATAACTCCAGAACAGATTAATTGACGAATGCATTAATTATTTCAGGAAACAAAGATACGATTTATTGTACAATGCCAATGAAGTTATTTCATCTATTTTCTTTCGATTTATCTCATATTTTACATGTTTTTCTCTATTTCTATTTGTTTTTATTACTTTTGCTAGTCTAAACTCTTTTCATATAAAAAATAAAATGACCTCTTAATAATGATAGGTTGAATTATGAGAATAAATAAATAAATAACTCGACAGATTAATTTGTTCTCGACTCGTTGCAATGATAAGAATTTAACAGCTCACTGATCATACTTAATTGAAAGTACATAATATTTTAAAAAAGATTTTTTTTTTTTTTTTTGCAAGAAACCACTAGAATTTAAGAGATTTATATGGATTGTATTAATTTATGTGTTGAATTCTAACTTATATATATATAAAAAAATTCTTGCAAGAAGTTGAATGCTTACACTCACCTACACACACCTCAACACAACAAACAATGACGTTAGTAAGTCATTGCTAATGCATGTGTACTTGATCCAATAATTCCTGAGTTCGAACAACTTGAACTACATTGAACCTATTATTTTTATTTTTAATTTTAGGGGCAAGAATATACTTATCATCAAAAAAATTTATCACCTTTACAATCAACCTAATCATCGTTGATTTTCGTCAATCTAACGGTTATAATTTATTGGATCGTATTTATTAATTAATTATTAATTTCTAATAAATTATAACCATTAGATTGACGAAAATCAACGATGATTAGGTTAGTTGTAAAGGTGATAAATTTTTTTGGTGGTAAGTATATCTTGTACTTTAATTTTATGTTAGGAGATAGTTTCATTCAAATATTATTATTTTTTTAGAAAAATATGGTAGTACTTAATAGGGGTGATGAGCTAATTGAACAGCTTAGTTTGGAGCCAAAGATAAATTAAACTGGAAATTAAAAAAAAAAAGTCAGAGCACATTAGTTTGTGTTTTAAAATGATTCAGGGGCAGAGGGGAATCTCTTTATTTAATGAACATTCCAACGCTACTAGGCCAGTGGAATCCTATTGCAAGTTTGCAACTATGGTTGCAACAACGGAATGGATTAAAGGGAATTATTTCGATCATAGTAATTTCTGTGACAAGCGCTGGTTTTGAAGTGATCAGCAGCAAAATCACAATTTTCTCCCTAAAATCTTAATTTATTCAATTTTTCACCTTCAAAGCACGTAGTGGTCAGGATATTTTTCCCTCTAAGAAATGATCGTGATCATGCTAATTAAAATTGGAATTTTATTTAGAATCAAAAGGAGGATAAAAAATCATAAAACGTAAAATTCTAACGTAAAATATATCATAAAAAATCATAAAAACGAAAAATATTTGAAATTTTGATAAAATTATTTTAATTAAAAAATTATTAAAATACAGGTTTAAATCAGAATTTTAACTACATAACCAATTTCTCAGGGAACAAATAGAATTTAAGACCAATTTTGTCGCAATAATTTTTATAAAGAAAAAGACAAAGGAAAAAAAGATAAACAATGATAAAATAAAATAAAAAAATGAATTTTTCAAAAACTATTTTACAAGAAGAAGAAAAATTAAAAAAAAAACATTTGCTTTCATATAAGTGTTTAAGAAGTTTTTCTTCCGTTGGGAAAAGTGTTTATCATTTTAAATGACATAAAGTTATGTCATTTTAAGAGAGATATAGGCACAGAAAATTTGAATTTTAAATTAAAAAAACCATCCACTTTCTCTCTCCCATGATTTCCATTTTTCTGTGTCTATCTCTCTCCTATAACTTATGTCATTTAAAATGACAAACACCAAACCCTTTAATAATATTTTTTTTTTTCTAAATTGCCCTTGTTCTATTGGTTTTCCATCTCTGAGTCAAGAGACATAAGGACTTTTAGTCAATAAATGCGAACATTACGTTCAGTTAACATATGCCCGTCTAGCTCAGTCGGTAGAGCGCAAGGCTCTTAACCTTGTGGTCGTGGGTTCGAGCCCCACGGTGGGCGTTTATGTTTTTCCATCTTTCTATAAAAATGTTCAGTGGTCTTGTACAAGGAGAAAAGCCCAGTGAACATTGAGATTTTGAAAAAAACATTAAAGAACAGCCCATTAAAAAACTTCCTTACAAGGCCATACAGTGTATAAGCTCTTTTACTTGGGTTGGGTTACTCAACCAAACGGCTGAAGATATTGGAACTGATGGGCTGGGCTTCCTGGGCCCTGCTTTCTCATTTCTGTTATTTGCATTTGCAATGCTTTGATCGTGTTCAGAAGCCCAACGAAAATTGGGCTCGGCTCTTCCTTCATCTCACAGATATTGACATATTGTAACTTTTCTTTATTTCCTGCTTCTATTAAGTTTAGAATAAGTACATTATATAAACGACTAATTATACACATACAAGTACTAACTTAAACCATTAAAATATGTTTAACTAAGCTTTATTCACGCTTTCCTTTTACTTCATTTGATTAATTTTTCAATTTGTGCATAATCACATTAATATGTTAATCCAATAAATCTACACTTATTTATGACCATCCCTTTTCTGATTCTTGTACAAGTAGCATTTATATTAGGAAAATATTTTTAGTACATCAGAAATACCAAATTAGGTATTTTTTTTTAAATTTGGGAAAAAAATTTATTACTTTTGAAATTTTTTGTTTCTTGTCACATTACAAATTTATTCTCTTATATTAGATTATCATATATTCACAAAGGTGTACACAATTATACTGTACTGTTGCAGTGTATAAAAAATAAAATAAAAAAATATTATACTGCTGCATCCAAGTTTAAATATATATATATATTTTTTTGAATTACAATGAGAATCAAACACTACACACCCCACACCATTATGCTAACTCTAGTGATTTTTATAAT